GTGACGCTTGAGCTACAGAAACCGAATCGGGTTCGAACTTGTGCTAAAAATTCAAAACGATCTCACTGTGGAAGCCTAAAAGTTCACACGATATTTGTCCGTGTCCCCCGGACCCACAAAGTGTCTCATGCCCTTGGGGTCGTAGGTCCTTCCGACGCTTCTTTAGCTTTACGGTGGCTTCGATTTAACATCACACTGTGAGGAAATGTCACACCTCCGGAAGTCAACACCCCTTCCCACCTCTCTCCCAGCCCTCGCCTAAATTCATAATCTTGCCAAAATTGCAAAAAAACTCCAAACACACTGTACCAAGAATTTAAATCTAAAATTTTAATTCTCACAATGTTAAAATGGTCATGTGAGTGTATTTTTCTGCTCACATGAAGAAACTGATATCTTTGAACCTTGCAAAATAGTCTAATTGTCAAGACGAAATAGTATCAATTTTGTAACTTCTACTGTTGTAAATTCAATCGAAAGAATCATGCGTACTTCTATATGAGTTGAATTTAGTGACCATCTGACTCTGTATATGGAAGACGGATTTCTAGAAAACAAGTTTGTGGTTTTCTTTTTCATTTTGATTACACAGATGTGGAAGATACATTTCAACATGTGGTATCTTCTTATGAATTATGTATTTTGTCTGTCATGAAATCTTCTCCCTGATTGCTCCCTCTGGACAGGTCGGAGACTTAACAAAAGCAAAGAGGGTGAAGCAAAAATTGATGCTTTTGAAGATCTATGTACCTGCACAAAATCGCGTAGAGGTAATTACTGAGAATTATGTTCCACTTTGGTGGGACATAATTGTTTTGTAACATAATTCACATTTGTAAGATAATTGATGTAACATAATTCGCTGCATCCAAGTCCCAGGTACTTCAAATATATATCTGTAAGACTTCAAAGCATGTGTTTGTTCCTTCGATGTCGACAGACTTTTCTATGTACAGTTCGATTTGATCGGCTTTACAATTGCATCCGAGTTATGTGCCAAGCTCATCAACAGCCTATGAATGTACAATATGAACAACACTAATGAGTGTGATACATTTCAATTCTAGTGAGTCCGAGCCAGGACTTGTCTCGCAAGGTCGATTTGTCGTCAGAAGAGGCAGAGAACACTTTATGTAGCTCGAGCAGGCAAATCAAATCTTCTTTGTCCTCACAGCTGAGAAGTTGCTAGTCCTGAGCGTCGACTGTGGAAATGGATGAAAGCGCTTCCTGCGCCATAAGTGAGGACGAGTTCACTTCCTCGCCCTGGAACTGAAACCAAGCATGCAGCAAGCGCTGCTCTGGCTTCATGGCTTCAGAAGTCTTGGCTCCCCCATAAATGAAAACTCTTTGGTGAAGCTCGGCGGCCTCGTTCTTCCAGTCGAAAGATGTGTCAACACCTTTGGCCAGATGTTGAGCTGCCTGCAAATTGGCTTGCATGCAACTCCTCTGCTATAGATTCATAACTCCACCTCATATGCTCCATCGCAGTACCTCCGAGTGGGACATCGATGTCTTCTGCCATGCTATCATGAATCCACGAGTTCATCTCCTTCTCGAGTTTGCGAAGATGCAGCGCTTTTGGCCCCGCCGACTCTAGCGAATGCAACTCATCGACTAGTCGTCTCCAATCAATGTCGGCACATTGAGCGGGCAAAGCGGAGGATTCTCTCTCCAAATCGTGTGCCTTGATGCTCGAAAATAGAGGCTCTTCTTGCAAGATTGCAACTAGAGTAGAAGGCGGAGCGCGAGACGATTGTTCGACCTTGGGCCTCGATGTCGAAATGCACAGTCTCGAAGCTTGTCTGCTTCTTTGCGACAATCTTCTCCCCCAATTGGCCCGAATCTGTCTCGGATCCGGCGTGGAGCATGAAGTTGATCGAAGGGAAAAAGCGGAGAATATGGGATATCAAGGATCAATTTAGCAGAGCTGTTGCAAAGTGAAAGTGTGGACGATGCTGCTGCTAGTGTGGCTGTAGGTGAGAACGCGTGTTGGGATTGATCTAGTCGAAGGGAGAGACAAGAGAGTGATTCTTGCAGGTAGAAGGGAAGAAAATTCCCACATGAAGGGAGAGGAGAGAATACCCGAGGGAAAAGAGAAAATCCACAAAAGGAGAGATTTTGCTACGGGAGAGTGGAAAAGATTTCAAAGAGAAAAAAGATATTTATGATGTGATAGAGAGTAAATTAGGAAGGGGATTTTGGTACGAAGTGAGAGAGCATTCCGGAAAGAATTGAGTCTCTAGGACAAAAATAAAGTAGAGAATGTATTGGGTCTTAAATGTCAGTGCTAAGCTACCCCTCGGACTACAACGTCTATGGAGGGAAGTATTAAGCTCACAACTTGCGATTCGACAAAACTTCATGATGTGGCATTTCTTACCACATCGCCAACAAATAACATTCTTCTTGTCATATGGCTGAGCCATAAACTAGACTCTACTTTGCTGAGGAGATCTTGATCTTTGACTCTTCAATCCCAAACATCGTGAATCGTTGGTATCTCTTGTTTGTGATTGACCAGATCCGGTACCTGGGGCTTGGGGACTACTTGGGCTATGATCCTTCTCTCCGCTAAAAACGCTCCGAGCTGCGACGCTACGATCATGCAAAAAGGCCGCAGCTCTTGCAAACTGCAAGGTGGAGGTACCCTTGCACTCTCAACCTCACTCGAACTCGCTCGCTGCTTCCAGAAATCTTCCGATGAAATCCTAAATTACAAATTGTTGCCTTGCTCGCAATTTCGTTTGGCAACCTTACGAAGCACCCCAACCCCCAACCTGATATAAAATTCTGCACACGCCCAGAATGTGCATCTAGTCGTACAGCGAGTGATCATCCTCAATCAAGTTCAGCACAACAAAGACATTGCGCTTGCTGCTTCCGTTCTTCTGTTTCAAAATTGAATCACAAGTAACGCATAACTATAAATCCTCATCATTCCATGAGCACGCTGAAACTTCTTTGACCCTGCGAAGAATTGTCATAAACTTCAGAATACTTTCATAAACTTTGAGCTCCTGTCACATGCTTCTGCAAGTCGAACAAATGCATCAACTTGGCCTCCACGAGCTTTATCAAAATTCCAGTGAGATTCACGTTCTCATAACTTACAACACCTGTTTGAAAACTATCAAAATATTGTGGGTGAAAATACACTTGCATAAAACATTGTCAAATCTTGAATCAGGTTTGTTACCACTATCCTGCAGGAAATTGTAAATATTTTTGAATGCATAAACTCTCATATGACAATTTTACTGCATACAAAATTTTAAATTTTAAAGATACCCTAAACTTCACAATATTCTTCCTCCTGAAAATTGTCATCAACCAATGAGGTTTGATACCACTCTCCTGAAGAAAAAACCTTCAAGTGCATCAAACCTAGAAAAACTTTCAAATCTTTCACTTTGAGACTAAATCGGGACTTATGTCACAAACACGTCAAAAAATCTAGTCTCAGAAAACCGTCAGTATATATTGTCTCAATAAATTGTAAGCAAAAACAAATTGAAACAATTTATTGACTATAGATCTGAACCAAAAACCGGCTGTGATATCAATTCTAACGGTAAAATTTGATATCACACTAAGCAAGCCAACAACACGCAAGACACAAAAGACGCATGTGTAACGTGGTTCACCTTTATTAGTATGTTAGTTAAGAACAACATCAATTTGTGTGTTTATTTGATTAATATGTGATATCATCAATCTAGTATGAAATGAATGATGCGTATGAAACTTTGTATGTTTATACATGTTGCAAAAAAACATATGAGAAAGTTAAAAAAAATTTTACACATGTTTTATCTTCAAGCTTTGTGTTTTTTGATTTTTACTATTGTATCACATTTATTTACTTTCATTTTTTAGGAATAATCAAAACAAACTTAAAAAACACAAGCACTCACACATCAAAACTTATATATAAATTTGCCACTTCTACATAAACATATAAACTAAAAACCTTTACTAATAAAATTATAAAGTGTCTACGATATGAACTTTTTTTAATGATACCAATACAACATAAATACTAATTAAACTGAGCTAACTTGAGTTATTAAAAGTCTGAGTCATTTTTGAATAATAATTTCTAATTTATGTCGTGAAATTTGTAAACTTTATAACCTATAAAATCACTTTACAATAATATCTAATAACCCAATATAAATTATAGCTATTTATTCAATCAAAGCTAATAAATTTTTAAAATAAAGAAACATCAATTGTATTAACTCCAAATTAAAGGTCTACATTTCTTTATAATCACATCGTTTGGGATTAATGTTCATTATAAACTCATTCGGAATAGGGAGACAGGAAATAAAACATGGAGCCGGGAATATAATTATCATGAAAACGGTTATTATATTGAGGAATACAATTTTTGTGAGAAGAAAATCAATGCTTTTGTGTTGGAACCACGTCAAACTTCAAATAGTCTCATACATCATGATTGTGGTATGAAATAATTGTTTGATTGCAACGTCCATTGAAATATCTGGATAACATCAGTAACTCTATCGAAGGACTACAAAACATAGATAACAAGCAAACAGCAAGGTAATCATGCAAAAGTTATCGTGAGATATTCATTCAGAAGATTATCCTGGATGAACGGAATTATACTTTTGTGACATATAAATCGATGCTTACGTCTTTGAATGCTTTCAAAGACGTAAGTTGATGCTAGTGTGTTTGAATAACATTGAGCTTCATAAAATCTAGTACACTTGAGCTCAGACTACATGGTATGAGATGTTTGATTGTTTGTCATGTTCATTTAATTATCTAAACATTGTATTTCTGCTTGATTTTTGAATCTACATAAAGTATGATCAACACAATTTAATATAAAAATTGGTGAAAAATCGTAACCACGATGTGAATGGTGCACAAATGAACACGAAAGTGGATGATAAAATCAATGCCATCTCCGAGGCAGGGGGAGGATGAGCAGAATGTACAAATGGCGCTCTCACGATTGGTTATCGGAATCTCAAGCACTTTGGCATGAGGAAATTGTTGTCGTCTGCTAGGAAACCGTAACCAGCACCATTCAGTATCAAATGGACTCACGGCCTGAGACTGTCCGGGGCTTGGCGGGTGCACAGAGTACTCGGACAATCCAGTTATGAAGAAAGTGGTCTTCTTGATCGAACACGCGGAAATATCTCTCTACAGCGCTGAAGATGTGATTTGAAGCAAACTCCGCAAGGGCGAGGATTGCCTTCGAATTCTAGCTGCAAGCTGGTGTGTGGAGACCAGAAAATTCCCCAGCCGCATCAGGGGCGGGCCAGAATTCTTTCTGCGGAACCAGCATTTCCAGCATCGAAGGATAGTTGGTGTCTTTCAATCTTTGGCTTTACAACAGGAGGGCACGCACGGACGGACAACTGACAACAAACATCAGCGAGTTCGAGCTTCTTCTTTGAGTGTCAGCATCATGCTGGTGGTTTTGTGGCCCGAAAACGCTTATACATAACGGCCCGCGGAGTGGAGGATGTCAACGCTGCGCGAATGTGCTTTTGGTAATTTTCTGTTCTTGTGATCAGCCAAGCATGCATGCCCCTGAATGATATCGAATAGAACTCTTATGTGTACTCTTGATGCTTCTTAAAGCTTTGTAGTTAACGAAGTGCATTAGTAACGAAGACTTACGTGTAAACGAACGCCCATGTAAATGTGAGCGGTAATGCACACCGATCATGTTTATCGTGAGTGGGTGAAGCATCTGATGTGAAGCCGGAATTTTGTAATTTAGTTGCCCACAATAGTTTTCTCCAGATTCTTACAGGAGTCAAAATAGATCAATACTAGCAAAAGCTTAACATCAGTCAGCTTGTCGCAGTTGTTGTTTGCCTACATTTGCTACACCGAGATTCATTCCGAGAGCTGCTGAGATCTCTGTCAGCAGGGTGGACTGGGAAGAAGCTCGAATGACCTTTGCCGGTTGATAGTTGTCACCATGCGGGCTTTTAAGATCAACTGTCCGAATGACAGTGATCCCCCGAATCAGAATTCTTATTGCTTACCTGAGCTCTGTCGTCTTTGTCATGCAGAAGTCTGACGCCGAACTCAGCTGGAATATGTTCCAGAGAATTAAGCAGAAACGGATGCGTGACCGCTTAGAGCCGAAAAGTTTAGCAGAGGATTTGCTCATGGGATACTCATACACTTCTTGAGTGCCTTCGTTACTTCTCATACCCTGCCACTTACATTTGTGTTCAGAACCCTGATTTCTTCCCTTAGCTAGAGGTAGTGGTAAAATTTGGGGTATTTATTCTATTGCGGGGCGATCATTTCGTCAGCTCGTGGAGTGCACTACCCACCCGAAAGCAGTACCTTCATCTATGACTGTCGCTAAGACTGTGGTGTCTTGTGCAACCGCACTAATTCTCGTCCGCATCATTCCGGACCTGGCAAACTGAAAACCTCGGGAGGTTATTGTTGAATCACGAGGCATCAGACTTGATACAGAGATGGTTCTTACCCGGCAACGGATGGACAAGTGCACCGGAAACGGACGACGACTGCAAATGCTCGCTCACCAGATTCAGAGCACACTTGACATGCATACAGTATCAGATAAAGCCCTGGCTGTATTGAGAAGAACGTCTGCACTAAAGGAATGTAAACTTGGGATGCCTACTTGGTATAAGTTAGAACCCAACTGAGTCAGCAAAGTCCAACATACTCATTCCACGATGAAGCGGGTATACACAAAGAACCCTGCGGTTGTGATGAATCCAAAGAATCCGGTTGCAATACCAAGATCTCGGAAAGGAGATTTTATTAAAGGTGACTTTTTTTCTGTGCGTATATTGCTTTTACACTTTGCCAACTTCCACATTGTTGAAGGGCCAGAATCAACGGAACCATTTGCCCTCATGGTGATGCCCCCAGAAAGTGCAAGAAGGTGACATATTCATGAACCAGAGCTAGTGGAAATAGTCACAAATAAGGTATCTTCTTGTCTCTATCTCCGGTTTGTGGTAGTGAAGGTCATGTATCTGTCGTAGTTTGGATGTAGTTGTGGTGTTGCTGCACAGCAGCTTATCTTTCTAATGTTCGAACTTTCCTGTCAGTAGTCACTAGAAGACTGCTCTGTGTTTCCTACGGTTAGGATATACGCTTCACTATGATGTATGATGGGGTTCATAGAGATGTCCTCGATCCGTCTTCATTTACAGGCCTTGGAAGGACTCTTTTTTACGCCGTGATTGCATCTCTATACGCATTGTTGTCGCTTTCATATCAGTTAGCAGCACTACTCTATACTGGTTCATATATAAGTTATGGTAATACATGTTTGTCTTTTTGATAACCATCCTTACATCTCCACCGCTCCTTCTGTGAACTTTGAGTCTTTCTTTACATTGTTTACATAGAACCCTACTTGGCTTAAATTGTGAATTAAAATCTTGTGGGAGTGCTGGCGCAAAGCGCACTAATTCAGTCAACACCGAGGAATTTTCTTTTGACTCTGATTTATTTCGCAAACATGCTTAGTCAAAGGAAGAAGAACTTTGGGTACACTTTCCGTATTTTTCTTTAGGGAAGTGTTTCAGTTCTCCTGCGCTTTTCCCAGTCTAATTTCGAACTTTAGTTCACCACCTCAACTCATTGGAGACACAAGCCCGATCTCTTGCGATGGGATCATCCCTCTAACCTAGAAGAAGAGCATCGAACGTGTTCATCTCGGGTTAATTTCGGACTCCTCACTAGTTGTTTTTGTCAACCTTGACCTTCGTGAAAAATCTCCAGGATTTCGGCGATTTGCTCTATCTTCATTGGCCTGATATTCCGTCTTCGGGATAACCTTTTTTTGATTGTCCGTGGTTGTGTCTGTTGCCAGGTTATCAGTCTCGAAATGGGTCGTCTTATAGCTGGATGAACATGGTTGAAATGTTTGAGGAGAGGTTCCAAAAGGTGATAGACGAAGCGAAGCAAGCGGAGGACGTCATTCTTTTCATATTGAATTCCACGCTTTGATTGGTGTTCGTTCTACATCGGGTGTTCTTGATGCTGCTTGCATTTAGAAACCAGCACTTGCTAGGGGTGAACTGCAGGTGGGCATTTTTACTGACGTGGAAAGAAACGCAGGAAAGCTTTCTCGATATAGTGGAACTTCTTGCTATTCCCATATGAGTTTAGTCTTGACAACGGCGAGTTGGCGATAATTAGCTGGATGTACCCTTGATGTCTCATGCTGATCCTATCTTGATTGCTGGATGCCTGCAGTGTATCGTTGCCACTACTTTTGATGATTACCGCAAGCATACAGAGAAGGATTCAGCATTAGCGCGTCGATTCACAATCGTGAAGGTACCTGAACCCACCGTAGGCGAAACTGTACTTATGTTGCAATGCCTGCGCAGCGTTATGAGATCTGTCAAAAGGTTAGGTACTCCGACGACGCTTGGAAGCAGCTGCTCAGCTGTCTCACCGCTTCATAAGGTACTTCCAAGCTCTGTGAACAAGAAATGTGAGTTACATCTTTCTTGCTCTTGATGGCCTTGAAAGTCTGTCTACAGTGCATTGGTTGACAGCTTATATATATTATAACAGTGACTTGGACAGTGCAGCGACAAATTCTTGCCGGACAAGGCCATCGACATGATGGAGGAGGCAGGATCGAGAGTTCGTCTGGGACACGCCGAGGTATTATTCATCTCCTTGTTGTACCTGAAGAGTCCGAACCGACCCATTGCAAATTTATTGGTATTCGGAACCCCCGGTATGCGCAAAACAGAGCTTGCAAAAGCCTTAGCGTCCACTGTTTATGGTTCAGAGGCGGCAACGGTGAGGCTAGGTAAGTCGGAGTTTATGGAGAATTACAGCTTGTCTAAGCTGACTGGGTCACCACCAGGTTACGTAGGGTACAGCAAGGGTGGTCAGCTTAAGGAAGCTGTCCGCAAGAGGCCGTTCACTCTTGTTTTGTTTGATGAGATTGAAAAATCGCATCCGGATGTTTGTAACATACTGCTCCAGGTTATGGAGGACGGCAGACTCACAGATGGCAAGGGTCGGAGTCTCGATTTCAAATACACGATTGTGATGATGACTTCTAATCTGGGAAGTGACGTCATTGTCAGTGCATGAGGTATTTACGAAAAGATGAAGGAGTCGGTCACTATACAACTGGAAAAACATTGCCGTCGGGAGGTTTTAAACAGGCTGAATGACTTGGGTTGTGTTTAGGCAGTTCAACAAAAGCGAGGTTCATACAATTGCGGAGAACGTGGTAAGTGAGTTTTGTGAGAGACTAGAAAAGATGGAGATTGATCTGTATGTAACCGAAAGCTTTCGCAAGCAGCTTGTCCTCAAGGGATACAGTTCCGAAGACGGTGCCCGGCCGCTAAGAAGAAATGTCACTGTTTTTTAAAGACAGGATGGTAGCTGTATACTTACAGGATAGATAGGCACGGGCGATGCAGCTGTTGTTGACGTTGATCCTGATGGGAATTTCACTGTAGTGAAAATGAAAGGAGGAGCAACTGAAGCCACAGGGTGTGGATTGGAGTTCATGTGTGTTGTTAGCATCAGACATTCTGGTAGTTTTCACCAACTTGGAGCCAATTCGGCCTGGACAGTGCTTAAAGAGTCCTTTTGTACACCATCGAAACGAGCCGACCATGGACAGCCACATTTTGCAGTAAAGAACTGTTTGGAGGAGTTGATAATTCCTTTTTTCTGCACTCCCTCTCGAATCATGAGTCCCTGTCCAATTAACGACAGCTCGTCGCTCTTTAACTCGTTGTTTCCAAATCTCTTTTTTGTTCGCTACTTAGGATGATTCTTATCCTAAACCGTCGGCCACTGCGAGTCGGGAATCAGCACTCCATTTATATACAGGATGAGGGCAGATAGCTTAATTTCTTGTGCACTGCGTCGTTATCTTCATATTCGGTCATGTCCACGCTTCAGTTACCTGCTCTCTTTACTCCACAGAATTCTTGCACCAAAGCAACTAAATACAGTCAGCTAATTTACAAGAATTCACACACAAATACATGGGACGTATCGAAGATTGAGATGTTTATCACATCTATAGTCATTATGAAGTCAATCATGACGGTTTGCGTGTACATGTACATATATGTTTGTACAATAAATATTAAGAGAGTAAAACATAAAACTGAAAAGTTAGACTTTTGTAACACTTTTGAGCATTCTCTTTAAATTCTTCAATCCAATGATATTACATATAAGCTAAATTGAACAAAAGAATAGAATTTTTAACGAACTTTCCCTCCGTTAAAAAAAAGCAAGATGGTCTAATCTTACAATGACTCAAAAGGATTATCATATCGAAATGAAAATATTTCATTTTAAAAAAAATATTTTTCTTATTTTTTTGAGATTATTTTTTATTTATTATGTATGTGTAACCCAAAAAAATTTCCACGGAATTACTAAAATATGAATTCTTTATTTTAGATTTTAATTTCTAGTAATATTTTCTATTTTCTTATAGTTTCAATATTCAAAAATAGATTTAATTGGTCTATTGTATATTTAATGGACATCTTGTAACATGGAAGATTTCATTTGATGTGGCTTATATCAGAGAATTTTTGAAAAAATCATGACTGCATGTTCAAAGGATTGATAACTATTGAAACTTTATTAACAAAAAAGAATGTACGAACACAATGAAACCTAGGCACGTTATGACTGCTCTAAACATTCAAACTTTATTACATACGTTCATTGTCAGAAGTAAAAATCAGATTCGCGATTCGTTTAATTTCTTGCAAAACTTGCAATCTACTGAATTTTCTATACCGCAATCGGAAAATACTTAGTCTTTAATGATAGTTTCAGTTCATTGTGTTACTTCAACACTCCGTCCACTTTGAATGTTTACATAAATTGATAATATTTTTTATTTTTCATTCTCTAAGAATGATTTCCACGTAAATTTGAATATATTCAAGTGCAGTAGGATACCGGTTGATATTCTGATGTATAAAGAGCGTCTTTTTTATATTCAATGAAATATTACATTTTTATATAATTGGAGGTGTATATATATTGTAATGTAACTAAGTTTCATTTTAGTTATGTATGGCATGTCACTTAGCCCGCTTAAGTTATAATGCGAATAAACGTAGCTCATGTGATTAAAACGAATTTCTTTGACCTTGTGTAAAGTGATACAATCTCTACGAGTATATTCCTACCCAAGATACATTCAACTATCATTTGGGCAGGAATATGCTCCAACTGAAAGAGAAGACTGAGATTCATACATTTTCAATTCAGAGGCCATAGATTGCAATGATGAGAGCAGAATGAACCTTCTCACAAAGGAAAATAAAATGGGGGGCCTGGAGCATCTGGTATCATTCGATAGAAGACAGAATACCAAACGAAGAGAAGATTGGAAGTCAAACAATACAATTTGTGAGTAGACAGACGTGGAAGGTCATTAGGTTATACTACATATGTATCGTTCGATGCAAAGCAGGACATGAAAGTCGTAGGACTAAGTCATTAGAGGAATATAGATCGTCTTGCACTCCTGACCGAAACATTACCAGCACTCATGTCACGCGTATAAATAAATGTACATGCAGAGCTTGCGAAGCTCGAAGGGGAAAATACGGTGGGCCACGAATACTGTGCAGTGTACAGCGGCGGGTGCCACCATCGAGGTCGGGCAAGATAAGCGGGCACGATGGGGCGATAGATTTCTCGGTTCCAACATCGCTGCGACATGCAACTCGGGGTCAATCGGATCCTCATGCACAGAGCGCTGCTGGCTGGCTGTTTGCTGGCTGGCGGGCTGGCTTCATGCTCCCACTTTTGACCTTCTGCTGCGCGGCTTGATGGAGATGCAGACAACCGAGGTCATGGCGTTCGCTGTGCACATCACGTTTGTTTCAGCGAGTCCATCCGAAGGGTGCATGCATCGCCCTTTTCGGGCGAGAGGTTCCCGGTTCCCCAGGAGAGAAGGACATCAGAAATGGAGGGAGCGAGCGAGCGAGGCTGCCTGAGTCGGATCCACGGCCGTCAAATCCCTCGAATCCCACCTTCTGCTGGACATCTCTCTGACTTGAATTTCGAACCCACTCCTCGTCCGAGGCTTCAGACATGAGCACCAAGTTGTGCGCTTGGCAACTGCTGAACATCATCAGACTGCAGTAGTCTTCATGGAGCTCAGATTCTGAGCGTAAGAAATCTCGTCAAGCGATCGATCGATATGTGCGGTGGAACATCCGGAAAGGAAAATCCGGAAACAAAAGAGCCATTGACCTCGTCTCGGATCGACGGCAGGAGACCGGCCCAGAGGCCCGGTTCTGCCCCGACCACCAGTGATCGGTGATCGAGAGCGGACGAATCCGCCAGGTCATACCAGATGCATCTGGCCGAGGACGATGGGCGTTGACGAGTGCAGTGCCGGAATCGGTAAAGGTGGCCTGGTCTGCAGGCAAAACGTACTCGGAACTCAGACACGTCCGACATCGCCTCTCTCGTCTCGAATAACTCTAAATCTCTCTCTCTCTCTCTCTCTCTCTCTGTGTCAGCGTCTAGAACTTTCCGCTGTACTCGTCGAGCCGAACTAACCCACCTCGCCATGGAGAAACGAGACCTTTCGGGTCGAGCAACAGTAGCGCAGTAGCTCGGATGGCTGAAGCTGACCTTGATTCGAGCGAGGGAGGTCTGGTCTGTCTGCGATTCTGAGCTGCCGATCCATGGCTGTGCGAGAACGGACCCGACCCGACCCGACCCGAGCCTGCGGAAGAGGGGAGGCAGTGGTTTGGCTCTGCACTGGAGAAAAAGGCATCTGCCATCTGCATCCCGAGAATAGCATCGATCGAAGCTTGTGGACCGAGGCACCGCAGATCGCCCATGCCCTCAACAACTACGTACCATCGATGAGAGCCAGCCTCGAAGAGCGAAACGGGAGTTCACGTCACATGGTCTATCTCGTGGTTCCGGGGCCGGGGGCCAACGGCAGCCCGCCAGCTCGACGTGCTCGATTCACAATGTCCTCGTCCGGTTGTTGGAATCTCAGGCGGTCGTATGCTGTACGAGAGCTGCTGCTGCTGCTGCTGCTGCTCTGGGATGGGGGATTGGGGAGAGGAGGGCGTGAACGCTGCGAACTTCCGATGAGAACTAGATTGCGCTCCCCGATCTCTGGAAGGTGACAACTGACTGACTCTGCGGCTGGAATCAATGAATTCGCGTGAGGTAAAACGTTTTACGGAAGATCGAAGTTGTAGATCGCCCGAGGCGTTGACCCTGCGGTATCGTCTGGGTCCCCGCTCGCCCAATCAATGCCCACAGTCCCAAAGCCCACTCCGAACTGCTCCGCTTTCGTGATCGAGTTTCCACCATCATCGAGCCATGGAGCTGAACAGCACATCGACCCGGACTCGCTGAATCGTGGTCGACTGACGTCACACTCCCGTCCGCATCCATCCGTCCATCCATCCCGATCGTGATCTGGCTCAACGGACTGACATTTGTTCGGCGCTCCGGGGCAGGAGCTCCAAGGACCATCCACCGCCAAGTACGTGGATGGATTCATGAGTTGCTCACACTAACCCTCGCTCGAACCCCATCCTCGATGGGTTAGCCGTCTGGTCGGTCGGGACTCTTGCAACATGGTCGATCTCCATCCTGCTCCATAGAACGATATTATTCTTATTGCCCTCCTGTAGAAATCCCGCCCTCAATTTCTTCCGTAACCTTCTCTTGCTCCTATAACCAAATCAAGGCGCATATATATATATATATATATCTATATATCTATCACCGTTTCAGCAGAGGAGTTAACCAGGGTTGGGTTCGAGCTTGAGTTCGGGTTTGACCGGAGGATGCCCGAGAACCATCTCCCGGGGTTCGAGCTCGTCCGGGAGGTCTCCGAGATCGAACGCAGGGGCTCGGGGCCTCGGAGGACCAAATGTCGGAGACACGATATAGGGTTGCTGCGGATGGAACGACCGCCAGACCGAGATTCTGCAGATGCCGGCCGGAGCGGGCATGGGGACCTGCGTGCGCTGCAGGCCGAGCTTTTCCAAAAGGAAAGCCGTTGCAAAACCGCTTACCAACACAGCCAACCGTCGCACTGCCCTGCGTCTCTAATCTCGTCCGGGCGTGCGTGCAGGCCGATGCGAGAAGCGTCTTGCAGGGCCTGTCGGTAAACCTGCGGGCGGGCGGGCGAGCGAGCGAGTGAGCGTGCGTCCATATTCGGCCCAGAACTGCAGCGAGATGGCGATTGTGTGCCCGAGTGATTCAGCCCCTTCCCTTCCAGCTTTGACCTTCACGCGCATGGTTTGAGATTTTCGGTCTCTTCTCCGAGGGTCCTTGTCGTGAACATACTAGACGATGCGCGTAACATGCGAGAGCATCGGATCGAGAAGAGATTATCGAAAAATTTGCATTTCATGACGTGCATATGACGGGCGCCCTCGATCGAGATGGCCCGCCTAGGCGACCATGTTCGACAGCTGTCCGTAACATCGCACCACTTGCAAGCGAAAGCTGGTGTGAATTTCATTCGGTGAAACTGCGTGTTGATTCCCATCGCTCTCGATTACACCTCGCTCGACAGAGACTGAAACGCAACCCGCAACCGCCGAGCGCAACACCGATCACCAAAAGCGCTGCGGCGGAATGAGAAGAGATCGAACTGAGTCGATGACTCCCTGAATTTCTTCCCTGTGCGGGTATGCCAGGAAACAAATGTAACTCAGTGCTATGGAGTAAAGTGCAAAGGGCCTGACTAATTCTAGATCGAATAAACGATATGACACATCGACGTAAGCTAGCATGAAGATAACGAAGCAGTGCACAATACTATCCATGATCTGCTATTGGATTTGGTGTGGCGAGCACTACATCGTCGTTTCGTTCTGCCTCGACAGAGGTATATATCTTTGGAGGGGAGCTCTGATCCGACCTTCCGAACAGACGTGTTTATCGAACACCGACGTCCAGAAGTCTATTTGTGGAGCGTCGATGTTCTAAATTAGAATGAAACCGAAGACAGATCAACCTCATGGGAGATTGTCCATAAGAACTCAGCTCTAGGGTTTGCTTGGCAAGGACGAAAAACAAGACGAAGTGTACATGTGACAGCGGACAGGTCTTCACGCTCGTTCAAATTTAGTACTTTTCTCCATTTGGAATATGAACATTCTGGAACATAACATTTTTGGTGAAGGGTGTGCAGACACCAAGATGAAAAAAAGAGTTTTCCTTTTTTACTATGATTTACCGTTAGTTCCAAACATACTTGGTACTGTCCTGGAACTTCACGAAGAAAACACGAATCCAAGGGTTCTATCAGAATCCTCACTAAATGGAATGTTCTTCGCATTTCTGTCGGCAGAAGGCTACACCTGACCTCATCGAAAGAGGAATTTATGGAGAGAAAATGCGGCATGTGGACATTCTCAACCCAACAGCAGATAGAAATCGTGGTCGAACGCGAGCACCAAAACGTTAACCGTACAAAACATGATACTCCAACTCAGACCGGCGATCTCGCTCTTGCCAAGGACCCGGCAACATTTTTCAGGACCCAACTCTGCCTCGTGCCAAAACCAAAAAATGTCATAAACTCAAACCAACACACAGCCGGTCGAGAACATGCTGTTCGCGCAGACCTTCGAGACTTGTCCCGATCTTCAGCTCATTCGATCAGCATCGCACAGAGAGCGAAATCGATTGAGTGAGCACTTTCGCTGTGGCACCGGATGCGACTGCGACTGCGACTATGACTATGACTATGACTTGGCTGGGAATGGGGAAACTTGTGCAGCACCGACTCTGACTCTGCACAGTACTGTAGTCGGTGGCAACGTTCTGCACAGTCGGTACGCCTCGCAGAGAGACACAGAGAGACAGACACTGACTCTGTCTCTCGCGGTGAGAATGTCACAGTACGTACATTCACATGGCTATGGTAGAGGATTCTGGGTCCAGGCGATATGGGTGGAGGTTCTTCCTACCAATCTGTCTGTCTGCTTACTTCGTTGGTGGTCTTTTGAGGGGAGCGAAGGTTTCGATCCTCTTCCAACTTAGAGGTCCTGCTACGTATAGAGCAAGCAGGCTGCCGACATAAGAGAGAACTGCAGCTCTCAGTCATTACATCCGGCAGGATTTTCGTGTGTTCCCGTGCACTCTGCACTCTCAGTGGCATCTCAGTTCAGATTCACTCGACTGACTCTTTGTTCTGCAGTAAAGCAAAGCTGACTGACTGGCTGGCTGGCTGGCTGGCTGGCTGGCAGGCAGGCAGGCAGGCAGACAGTGCAGCTTCCGAGCAGTCAGTCATAATCCTTCAAGTTGCTAGCATGCATCCCAAGCTTCTGAGTTGAAAACTGTATAGGTGATTCTTCCACTTTTCTCAGCTCAAAATCCAGAGCGCCGATCAAAAACTCAGGAAGCAAGCTTTCAAGCCATTTACTCACTGCTGACAACCTGCTGGGTCAGACAGCGAGCGGAGTGCACAGAGACTGAACAGCTGCATGCACTGCACCTGCTGAACTCTGAGCTCTGAGCTCGGAAGAGGATGTGACAGACTCGGCAGTTGCTTATTGCGATGCTGACTTGACTACAAACAAACAGTATACGGTGACCGCCTTCGTGTCCACAACACGCCAGCACGTGAACGTAACTGTGGAAAGCAGCTCTTCGTAATCCTTGGAGTTCGTGTCTGGGCGTAAAAGATAAACTCTGTGTGGATTAAAATATGTTTGGACGCGAAACTCACAAAATGTGTCGTTTGCGTTGAACTTACAGCCGCTGTAGCGCTCTCTATCTCTCTCTCTCTCTTTCTCTCTGTGCGTCCCCCTCCCTCTAGCTTCGTCTAGCACTGTATTTCCTGGTAGAAAGTAATCACGGTCTGGATTCACTTGTATTCAAACTAAGGTGCTCGTCAAGTCAAGAGAAGGAGGGGAAGAAGGAAGAAGGCAGAAAGGCTCCAGGAATTCATCCCAACTCCAGCGGCAGCATCTCGCCGATTTCCAGGCGTGAAACCTGCCTCTCGTCGCTTGGAATGCCTTCTGCAAGGACACCGTCTCTCGAAGGCCATTGACTTTGAGAAATCCAGAATCTCCCCGGGTTTTCACCGCCGGAAGATTCAATTACCCGGCACCCCCACTGACTCACCACCTCCTAGAACCGCAAGCTCGAGCCAACGATGACTGACACCCATGCTCGGAGTCAGCACGCTCGTCCAGATGTACGTACTCGCCCTCCAGTCGCCAAGGACCTGAAATGAATGCCCCTCGGCTTTAAAAGCGACGCCCCAGACTGTCCAACGAGAGGAGTACATACTCTCACTCTCTCACAGAAACACACGGTTTGAGAGAAAGGGAGCAGGCTTGGCCACGCAACCGGTTCCAAAAGATAGTGTACCGGGACCGAAAATTTAACCGGTTAATCGCCGGTCCGGATCGGATCGCGGCCAAGAAATGCACTACATTACATTAGGGTGACGAATTTTCTCTGGACCCGGTTAACCGGTCTTAGAGAAAATCGAGACCGGTGAACCGGTCCCGACGGTTAACCGGTTAACCGACAGTCCGGACCGTGGACAAGCCTAAAAGGGAGACGCATAGATCCATACCCACAGTGTACGTACATGTATAAGCTGTGCTCGCCCCTTCCTCTCCTCAACTCACCTCTGTACATATCGGAGAAAACTGTACCGTACTCGACCGTACAGTACATGGTTCCGCCCCATGGCTCTGAGCAAAGAGCTCTCGTGTTCCTTTCCCACGGACAACGATCCACGGGAGCGAGGGAGCGAGGGAGTGAGATTCATTCAAACGCCCCCTTGCCTTCTAATTTCCGGCAGGTTCGTACGTTGTGTTCTAAGCCTGGCGTCGTGGCCGTTTTCCGCATCCTGCTAAATGTCCGGAAATTCCGAGCGGACGCATCGTATCCTCTAGGGCGGGTCGCTGATTTGGTACTCGGGGGGTCGATATGGTGCGACTTGCTTTTTCTTGGGGGGGGGAGGGGGGTTAGGTTATCAAGACGAGGTTAGGATCGAGAGGCTTGACGGTGACGGGGAG